TAATCGGTTTATAGGGATAAAACGTTTTGAGATAAGATCAAGAGAGTTCAAATTTAAAGGGTTGACCATCCTTCCATTTTCTAACCACGTTATCTAATACAGTGTAATGGGGAGCCAGAGCCTATCCCAGCAAGCAATGGGCATAAGGCAGGATACACTCTGGATAGAACATAGACACACACTCTCATCATGGCCAATTTCTCCAGAAACCAGTTAACCTACCAGTATGTCTTTCAACTGTGAAAATAAACCAGAGCACCTGGAGGAAATTCATGCAAACATGGGAAGAACATACAAACTCCATGAAGATACTGTAGCACCCCAGGAATTGAACCCATGCCCCCAGTGCTGTGAGGCAGCAGTGTTAATCACTGCACCTACATGCTGTTAAAGGTTTGACCAATATCATCATTGAGTTTATGACTTGTGTAAGGCAGTTTAATAATTCCCAGTGACTGAAAGTTGTAAATGTGTCTAGGCAACTTTCTAATAACAAGAATGACAATTACCACTAATTATATAATACTTTACAATATGTTATAATTGTGCTAATGCCCATTTATTTTTTATAAGACCTTCCTGTACTGTACAGTATGTTCATTTTATGTGCTTTTGGAAAAATGAAGACTGTTAGCGGCAGCAGTGAAACCAATGCTTAGTTTAATTATAGGGTGAACAAGGCAATGTCAGGATCAGTGTTCCCTCGCAGAGTATAGAAAGTGATTAATGGTGCCAAGTGGCAATTTGTGATAATCATCTCAACAGCATCACTGATGAAGATAGATTTCATTCTGTGAGGTCTTTTCTGAAATGAGATGGATGACATCCAAAGCGAGATGAGAAACTAACAAATGTTAATTAGAAGTGGTAAAAAATTCTCTTAGCACTTTTTGTAACACATCCTTCAGAGCACATAGTAATAACTGTGCATTGGATACTTTGGATTAATAAATGCATTACTGTGAAGGTAGACTTTTGACCCTATTGTTTGCTCAAGTGAAGCTTCCTGCACAGTAACTAGATAGTCCTTTAAAAAATGAATAATTTATTTCTTGCAATGTAGTTTCATGACCATGAAAGAGATAAAGGATTTGTGATTGCTCTAGCAGATTCCAAGTGAACTAGAATTACACAGTCTAGGCACTAACCTGAAGGGAACAAAATAGGATCTGGTGTCCTTTTGTTGGGCAAGCTGGTAATATAGAGAAAACAGTGCAATAAAACAAAGAGCCCTTCTCTCTTTTCAGAAGCTGCTAAATTGATTCTAGATGAATATGTTCATTAAACGCATACATACTAAATTAATGGCATTTGGTGTTTACAATAAAGCCATTTGCTTTTGCTACAGCAGAGCATGCAAATTTATATCTATTGGTCAAATGAGCATGTTTTTGTTATTATGAACAAAATTCTTTTTGGTAAGTATCCTACTGTAGGCAGATTGGATACATTTCACTGAGTAGCATTAATCCAAGTATCCTAAATTATCCACTGCCTTCTAATACGGAAGCCAGAGCCTATCCCGGCAAGTAATGGTTACAAGGAAGGATATACACTGGACAGGACACACACACACAAATGTGCACATACTCACACCAAGGCCAACTTTCTCAGAAGTCAGTTAATCTACCATTATATAGTATCTTTACTCTGTGGGTGGAAATCAGAGCATCCAGAAACATAAGCAAACATGGGGAGAAAATTCAAGCTCCACAAACAAATACATTGAACCTAGGGCTACAGCATTGTTGGGCAGCAATGCTAACCACTGTGCTGCTCTAATTTACATATTACATATTAGAATTAATTTTCGATTTCCATAGAAAAAAATAAGTCCATAAATTGAGGAATGCCTGTTTCATCACGTTGGATAGTCATTTCCACATTTCCCATTTATATTCAACTTGAGTATAACTCAACTGGAAAAATATTTTTGGTCTATTTGCACCTGATAGTGAAATATTAACACCACAAAATCAATACTTCAGATCACCTTACTAAAGTGATGCATGTCTGCAGTGAGATAGCAGGAATTGGTTGTAATATTAGCTTATTGTTTGTTGTGGTATTTGGCGGCCTTTCCGGAGATTTAAGTGAAATGAGGATCCAAATGTGTGACAGACAAATCTAGATTGCATGAGTCCAATTACCTTAGAATCATTGGATGGGTTAATCAATAAGTTTAAATTAGTTGAATCATCAAAATGAAAGGACCTTTAAATTACTGTAACCTTTGATTGTGTCATGATAAAAATATTACCTCCGTGGTCTTAGAGTGACATGTTTAGCTGGCTCAGTTGACTGAAATAATCTGACTCATAAAACTAGCCTCTGTTAACAACATATATACAGTACAAGGAGGATTAACTACTACAATATTAATGGGGAGGTCAAAGTGCGATGTTCTGGTAAGGAATGTCTAGTTGCTACATAACCCTGCATGCAGCAATTGATGACAACCAGGCTGGACAGTATTCTGTTGTCCTGAGACCTCAATTGCTCACCTTCCCGCAGTTTCTGCAGGATCAGTGCAAGACCTGATGCTGTTCTTGTAACAATGGTGTTCTTCCAGAATGAAAATGTGATGGTTATGTTATGCATTTCCTGCTTCCAAGATTGGAGTGCTATTGAATATTGTGGGATGAGCTGCAATCACATGTGGCATCTAAGGCTCAGAGACCAGTCAATAGACGCATACTTGTCCTGACTTTATGAAAGGAATGGGGGCAGAATACACACAGTTGTATAGGTTAAGCAAACTGCATTAACATTTTCCTTAGGTTACCATAATAAAGGAATTGTTTTTAGTACCATGATACCAATACTTTTTGTTCAATTATTTGTTTACCCAGTGAAGAAATCTGAATTAAACACAAAAATATATGCTGACTGTGATTCACCATATGTCAAAGTGCTATTTTTGCTCAGCATGCTTTCACTGTGTGTAGACTGATATCTAGGAATCTGGTGTTATCAAGATGATCAAACTATCACTTAACTTGACAGGCCACACATCTTTTTTTGTGTATTAAAATGGTCATCCATAGTGTAGAAAGACTTATACTGTATTAATGATAAAAGGTCAGATTAAGTTGTTTTAAAAATCAACTGTGATATCAAGGAAAACAATATAAATTGCTACATTCTCTTTTATTCTCCTTAAAAGTTCTGTTTTCTGAAGCAGAGGCTTCTGCGCTAATGAACAGAAGCAGCAGAAGAGAAATGAATCATGAGACTCTGTTGTGTCTTGGAAATTCTAAGCCCTACTGAGTAATACAGTACATTAAATTGAGTGTAGTTTGCATTCAGTATGGAAATGAGGCCATTTTATGTGACACCTATTCTAACAGATTAGTGCAATGCTTTATGTGGTACATTTTAATGTAATTATCTATAATGTTTAAAACAGAATTCATTTAAATAATGCAGATGTATTACATACAATTTTATTTTTAATTTCGCACAACAAATCTGTGACATTATTTTGTAATTAGTATTTTGTACAAGGCAGTGACGTTTAATTCCCAGATAGCATGGTTACAGTTTGAATGCACAATATATGCTACACTGCTGTATAATTGTAGACTGCATAGTTATTTGTGTCTATCAAGTCATTTGTAAGTCTTTTGTCTGATTTAGTTTGTTCCATGTGTATTATGTCAACAAAATGCATTCAAAACTTCTGAAAGCAACCTAATATTTGTTATCTAAAATATACAGAATGTTAATTGTGAGTCTGAAATACATTTATGAATACTGTTTTTAAGTCTTTGTTAATACTGTACTGATTATTGTAATATGTAATATGGCTTGTGATACTCTTATCTCTTTAAATGATAAATCAGCTAATAACATATCGCATTTGAAGTGGTAAAAATGAGTTAAAAAAATTAAATGTTGGAACCATAAAACTGCTGGGAGCTTTTTCCAGGCATTCAATTTGTGTGATAATTCATTTATTTATTTGCTTAGCTGATACCTTTATAGACACTGTGTTTACAAAGTTTTGACTTACTGCAAAACTGCAAATGTGCTAGTAAAATGTTGCTTTATGTTTTTATCAAAGACAGAAAATAAACCATTACAAGAGTTGGCATTACAGTGCATTTGTGAAAGTGAAAACATTACAGTGATCATCATTTGAGTGATATGCACTGTATATAATGAGGGAGAAAGACAAAGTCTGTTAGCATCTTTACCCCTGAGGGAAAAATGCTTTTATTCCACACCAGTCTTGTATACTTGCCAATGTGGCATTCTACTTATTCTGGTATTTCCTCATTAAACTGTGAAAGCTACACTAATTTCCAGATGACACCAATGACACACAGTGAAAAAGACTCCACTCCACAATTAAACCTTCTGGAGATTACACTGATGCTATTAGCAGTCAAACAAGCAAGATAACATTTTCAGTATTCTTAGGTTCTTCTTATTATGCTTATAATTCAGATGTCTAGTTTGCTTAATGTCATCAATATCATTGTTTTGTGCAGTTTAAAAATTAAAAAGATGGGTATTCAGAAGCATAAATACTCAGATGTATACATCTTTGCACTTTTTAAAAAAACTGATTCTTATACTAAAATTAAATACATACTGTACAGTTGATGATTTCTCAATTTGTGAAAAGTGAAATTTCTTGAGGTGAGGTTTCCTAGTGTTCATATTTATACAGAAATGAAAGAGAGAAGGAGATATGAAGACATATTGTTCCTCTAAACTGGAGCACTTAATTCAAAGTGAGACCATTTTTGTGCACAATGATTTGCTTTATTTATAAAAGAACATATTGTAAGAACAGTTGCAAATGAGACAAAGCCATTCAACTTATCTAGTTATTGAAGGATCTCATTCACTGTGTGGTCTGGAACATTTATCAAGACCCGTGCTCTTACAAAAGAGATGTTCTTTATTTTTACAATGTAGAAGTGTAAGCTGGAGTCATGTCATGGGGTAATGTGTGCAAATTATTTTTTTTTCTTTTTTCCTGTTTCTAGCTGATGTGGCACATGGGTACTACAGATATTACAGAACACAGCGCAGATTTTCCGAGGATGTAGACTGGTCTTATGCAGGTAAATAATAAACTCATCTCTTGATAAACCCAAGAAAGAAAAAAACACCTTGCTTTGTGCTTTTTCCACATGATATTTTTCAGTACCTTACAACATCAGTAAAGCATTAAAGGACGACATATTCAGCAAGTCTGGTATTGATCTAATTAACAGATCCTCCTGTTAACAGGAACAGTTGAGCTTATTGCCATTTAAAAAAAGATTAATCTTACTTTAATTCTTGTATATATTTATGGGTATCTACCATACAAATATCTTTAAGCTAAATGCATGTAGAATGAATGTAGACAGTTGTATGACAGATATGCTCAGCATGAAATGTTATGAAAGTTACGAAACTAGATCTGGCACAACTAAACAGTTTTTGTACATTAATTAGTGTAATTAACAGTTTCTAAAAACATTTTTTTTTCAAATATCTAAATTACTGACATGTAATTTTCCAGAAGAAGGTTTTTTTTTTTCTAAAGTACTGTAACTAAAGGCATCTACCCCTAGGGCAAAACTTGCTAAATCTGGCCCCACCTTTTACTTTTTGAACTGTTCTGCATTTCATTCAGGTTTGTTTGCTTCTTTAGAAATGTTTGGGGCCTGTACTGTTGTCATGCTCTTTCAACATCAAAGAAATCCATTTGGATTTCCTGTTTCACTGGTCCAAACAAGAAAACTAGGGTGGTGATTTCTTTATAGTGCCAGCATTTTTTCTCTTTTGTCTTCTGGTGTTTTTCTATCATTTTACATTACCTTTTCATTGAGTTAATGCATTCTAAGTAAGCACAGTCTTACAAAAATATAACTTTATGTGAAAAATGTCAAACTATTACAACCAACTCAGAGAAGTACAAAAGGATAAAACCATGTTATCTTTACATCCTCCTTGTCAGATAGATTCATAAATTAACATAAAGGGCCCTATATTAAAAAATGGAAAGGTGATTAAAATGCCTAAGTATTTCGCGTAAAGAGCCTAATGTTTCCACTGATGTTTTTACTTGGGAGGAAATTGTATTTAGTGAAGTTAATTAGAAGAACATTCTAGATATGTTCTATATTCTGCAAACATTGCAAGGTTGGACAGTGGCTGCTAACATTAAACATGGATGCAAAGATACTGTTCAGTTAAAAGACTTGTAGTTGAGAAGATAGAGACAAAGGACAATACATGGATTCTTATTGAAGATATATTACAGCCTTTCTTCTTCTCATAAATAAAGAGGAACAAAGTCCCTTTTATTATTAAATGTGTATCACCTGTGACCAGGAGATGGACATTTTGAGTCAGTTAATGAACAAAAAATTCTTATTTACATATTACTGTTATTGTCATGTTCAGAAACGGCCCCTTGAGTTTGAGTTTATCTGTAGGAAAAAGTCAAGCACATTTCAGATCTCAGGACGGATCTGCTCTGTATTCTTTGTCATGTGCAGAATGTGAGAGGTAACTGTTTGAACTCCTGCTGTGCTTGAATACAGGGTTAGAGGTACACAGTACATGTTAGTGCAAGTATGTAATAACTTGTTCTTTTTACTTCTGACAAGACAAAGTATTCACCTTTCTTAATCCTTTAAAGAGTGCCAATATGGTGTCATAAAACTGCATCTTAGCTGATCTTGTAATCCATTTTTTTCTACAAAGGTTGTCATGATCTGATCCTTGTTTTTAGCTACACCTTAAAAAGGAATCTGATCTTAAATAGCTTCTCTAAATGTTTTTTTTTTGGAGAAGAGTAATTTATACTGAGATTTTTGTTTTAATAATAAAATAAGAAGATTCTTTTTGGGGCAGCAATGTGGAGCAGTGCTTAGGGCTCCTCGCTACTCTGGAACATTGTGGATTCACATCATGGGTGGGGAGCTGCTGTTGTACCCTTGAGCAAGATACTTTAGTCAGATTGCTTTGGTAAAATGCCCAGCTGTTTAAAGTGATTCAAATGTAAGTTGCCATGGATAAAAGCATTGGTTGATAATATTAACAACATTTTTGTTATATTACTAGAACTATAGATATGTAAAAAATACTAATACAAATATTTTTAGAGATATTACATGGCCATATAGTTACTATGGTAAAAAATTAATGTAAACCAAACAGAATTATTACAAGAGTTGTTTTAACGTTATTTACACTGCAGCTCAGATGTGAGCACTTTTCATTAAGAAATACATTAACTTAACAAAGAGATTAAGTTTAACAAGACATCTTAAACAGTTCAAATCTGTTACCCTTAAAAGAAATGCCGTTTCTTACTGATTTTTTTCTAGTTGGTCTGACATTAACGAGCATCTTTCAAGCAGAGATTGCTACCTTTTACAAAAAGATGCATTAACCGAGCTTTATTATTCAACACAATGGTGCTTGCTACTAATGTGCAGCATTCCGGAAGCTGTTTTCGGATAACAGTTGTAGCAATTAAAATAGAGAGTGATACTGTACCTACAAGTAAGCATTGCGATTTCAACCAACAAGTTATTTTGCAAAACAAAACAGATAACCAAATAATAAATCACAGTGATTTGTAATGCTTTAACTGTACTGTTTAACCTCTTTGTAGTTATTGTATGTTTAAGAGATAGCAGGCCCTACATTTAAAACACAAGAGCGTTTACTGTAAGTCTCCATTGCTTTGTATATGTAACATGTATATGTTTTGAATACATGGACAAACCTGTTAGTGACATATAATAGTTCCTTTATGTTTTTTAGTATACATATTAAAGTGATTTTCTTCATACCCTTTTTTACAGCTCTCTGTAAATGTGTTTTATTGAGTTTTGTATCAAATCCCACTTTGTTTTTTTGATTTTCTGTGCACCTGTTGTGAGAGGTTACTTAGATCATATCTGCTTGATTTTGATTATTTTTTTATATTTTAAGCAACGCCACAAAATTTCATAGCAGAGTTTTCACATTGACTAAGCAAGAAAGAAAATAATTTTAATATGAGTAGCATTGTTACTTGAAGTGAATTTCATATTCATAGGAAGGGAATTGCTAATAACAGTGTTCACTGTCCTCAGATTTGATATTTGAATTTTAGTATACTGTACATATAATTTATTTGTTTTTCAGGGTCAAGATTATGCAAATAAATCCTTATTAATGAAAATAAATTCCTAGTCAAAGATATGTAATTAAACTACTATTGTGTGCAATGGGGCATGAAGAAATTAACTGCACTTTTTTTTTTAAAGCAAGACAATCTGAACTCTTTGAAGTGTTTGAGTCAGCCTGATTGGAGCCCTACAGCTGTTACTTATTCTGTTTGATCAATCCAGGGTGCCACAATGACCGAAAGCCAGGGAATGAGGCAGGTTTAGAAACCTCTAAAAATGACCAGATAGGTTGGTAAGCCAGCCTTTTTGGGGACAGTAAAGTACAAAAGTGGGCCCCCAGTAAAGTATAAATAAAATGACACTCTTGGAGAGCTCTTTCTGTAATCTTGTAACCAAAGAAAAAAATGCCATCAGCCAGCAGCCAGATCACCCTGCAACTCACAACTGGCTACTCACTGAAGCTAAGCAGGTGTGAGCTTGGTCAGTACCTGGATGGGAGACCTCCTGGGAAAAATTAAGGTTGATGTTGAAAGAGGTGTTAATGGGGCCAGCAGGGGGCGCTCACTCTGCGGTCCATGTGGGTCCTAATGCCCCAGTATAGTGATGGGGACACTATACCGTAAAACAGGAGCTGTCCTTAGGATGAGACGTAAAACCGATTGTATTTTAATGCACTCTTGGGTATAGAGAGAAAGATTCTACTTGTGTCTAGAATCCATTTAGAGCGTTATTTTTGTGAAACAGATTCCCCCTTTCCTTTACAGTATTTATGCCTTATTTACAATTTTAGTATCTGTTTGCTGGTTCTCTAAAAGGCTGGGCATAGGTATGCACAGATTCTGTCAGTATTGTAAATAATAGTAGTAAAGGATTGTTTCTTAATTATTATTATTATTATTATTATTATTAATAATAATAATTCCATTAATAATTAATCATTTCTATACCATTAATAATTATAAATAAATATTTATTCATCTTTTAAGTTTGTGGCTTTTGTTCATTATACCTCTACCTTGCTGTATTGGAAACAAAGAAATCATATGCCCACACTTGTATATCCTGACAAATGAGGGTGTGTAATTATTAACTATTTTAATTTGCAGTCATAGCATGCACACGTATCAGGACTTGATTTAATCATTGGAAGTTCAGTCACATTTATTTAATTTGTCTCACATTTGTTATGGCCTGTAACACTATCATGAACTTTACATAATTAGAATACAGGTTCTTCACCATACAGGTTAGTGGGAACATGTCATGCCATGATCAAAAGATTTCAGAGGACTTCAGAAATAGTAGTTAATGCTCATCAGTCTATGACAAATGAGAAATGTTATGTGTGATCAAAACCCAGCACTGGATTACCACAACCTGATCCCAACCATGAAGCATAGTGGACCTCAGGACCCAGACATCCTGCCGTGAATTTGGCATTGTATCAGCAAAATCTGTAGTAGATTGTTAGGCAATTCATTTTACAGCTGAAGCTTCACCAAAACGTCATTTGATGACAGTGTCCTAAATATAAAATCAGATTTATGGCTAAATGGTTGAAAATCAGATTTGCATTTTGAACTGGCTAAGTTAAAGTATGGACCTCAACCCCAAAGACTGGACCTACAGTGAGTTGTTCTTGCAAGAAAACCATGAAATGCCACTGAGGTGACAGTGATTGTAAGGAGGAATGAACCAGAATTCCTAAAAGCTGACGGAAGGGATTAGTAAGAAGTTACAGGTAACAAGATGATAAAGTTATTGTTGCTGAAGAAGGCACCATCAATTAAATCAGATTATCGTCCTATTTTGTTATATCTTTAATGAAGATGTAATTGCCTTTTAGATCTAAAATATACTGTACGAGTATGGACCAATCTAGGTCACAGTGTCACAAATCTTTTTTTGGCACTTAATTTTTTATGGATTAACTGGATTATTTTATG